AACCATAGATCTTTTGGAGGTTAAGGAAAGATGTATTGAGATGATAGCAGTGGTTGCAGCAATAAGGCACTGACATTGTTGAGGGCATTTGCTGTCTTGACAGTGGTACCTTCAGTATCTTTGATAAACAACATCAGTTCCTTCCGCTCAGACATCAGTCCATGCAGTCTTCCCAGGCATTTTTGACATACTAGCCCCTCTTAGTGATGACAAGAACAGGAGACATCATCTGTACTGAAGGAAAATGGTAGGCACCAAATGCAGCAGAGCAGACTCATTTTCAGAGCACATGTGAGATAGTCTCTGAGTACTTCTTTCCAGAAATATTAAAAAAAATCAACAAAGGTTATTTATAACTTCTGCAGAACTGATGGGAAAGGTCAAGAGATATGTAATTTTGTGACGTGATTCCATATTGCCCATAGGCTGCTTTGACACACGTAAACTGACATACTCATTAAAGAGAGTCTAACCAAATCTATACTAAAATGAATATTATCAAACACCTTTTTGATAAAATTTTCTCCTGATTATGGAAACATTAACATTGTTATATAAAAATGGCATAAATCTTCACATACATACTCATAAAGATTCAAGTAATATAGAAGTTAAATGCTATAATTATTGATCTTCTGGTCATATTCCTCCTAAAAAGAAACCATAATGAGCAGTTCAGTGAGTTTCCTTCAAGATATTTTTTACTGATTTTACTGATTTGTCTTTTTCTCATTGACTGATTGAGGCTCTTCATATATTTAAAGTATTAATAAGTTTCTCCCACAATAGAAAACTTGCTTTCCTACTCTGATTTATCTTTTAATTTTGTTTATATTACCTTTTATTGTACAGATGTTTAAATTTTTTTAGTGGTACCGGAGATTGAACTCAGCTCCTTGTGCTTGTGAGACAGGTGGCGGAACCACTGAGCTAAATCCCTGGCCTCAGATGTTTTAAATTTTGATGTCATCAAATCTCACAATTCTGGATTTGGGATTTGGAGTTTGCTAAGGAAGTCCCTTCTAATCAAGACTATAAAATGTTCTGTTGCATTTAATTTTAATGCATACTTGTTCATTTAAGTGTTTCTTATCCTAGCATTACTTAAACATTTAAACTATTAAATATATCTAACATAAAAATAGTACAGGCATAATAAAATAAATTCCTATGTATTCACTAGCTAGCTTAAAAAATAAAACACTTTCATTACCTTGGAAGCCTCCTGTGTGTTCCTCCCCAATTACTTCTCTTCAAAGATATTTCTGGCACCACCAGAAGTATTCAATATCTTGCCTTTTGCATTTCTTTACATATTTCTCACCTATGTATAATGTATTGTTTCGTTTTGAAAAATTGACTACCAAGTATTCATGTTACAGTGTTGAGAAAGAGCAGTACTGGCATTGTTAAATACAGGCTTCCACAGGAAAAGTCTTGGTGCAAGCCTGTCTTTTAGCTTTCTTGAGAGTATATAAGAATCCCTTTTAAGGAAGTTAGTGGGCAAAGTTGTAAGTGCTTTTGAGTCACACAGTGGCGTGCTGGAGCTGGCTGATAGTTTCAGGAAACTAATCTCATGTTTGCAGCTTGAAATTGCCCACATTGTGTGTGAGAGTAGAGAAGATGGGGACTGGGGAGAAGTTGATGAAAGATACAAAATATCAGTTAGGTAGGAGGAATAAATTCAAAAGATCTAGTACACAACATGGTGACTGTAGTTAATAATGGTGTAGAGCATACTTGAAAACTGCTTAGGGAGTAGAATTTTAGTGTTTTCACTGGAAAAAATAAATTTGTGAGATAATGCAGATGTCCAATTGGGTAGTTACACAATGAATACATATTTATAAAAATGCCATCTTATCTGCCATAATATAGGATTTTTGTCAATTGAAAATAAAATAGAAATTGCCAATAATGGGAATATATGCATCATGAAATTGATAAACTCTAAAACCAGAGCTTTTTCTTTTAATTGAAAAATATTTTCTGAGAGCTAACCAACCAGAAAAACCACTTGTACCAAGAAGTACATGGTTTGCAATGGTCAGGTTGTTTGGCAAGGCAGCAGTGTGGACTAAGTTTTGAATATCTTGCAGAGATGTGAGTAGAAGGAATAGTCATCTCTCTATTTTTTAAACTCACCATGGATAAACTCCATCTCTCAAAAATATGTCAAAGTATAACACTTCTGTTGGGGTGAAATCTGGTTCTCAGGTGTCCGGGCATCAAGGGTTATATGAGATCTTGCCTGTTTGAAATGTCTTTAATCTACCCTGTCACTTGATTAGCAGTCTGACTGGATATAGAACTTTAGTTAGGAAATAATTTTCCTTCAGAATTTTGAAGGCATTACTCTATCTACGCTATCGTCTCTGAGTTTCCTGCATTACACTGAGAGGCATTTCAGTGGAACAATTTTTAGGGAACAGCAGTGGAAGTGAGCAGTGGAGGCCCGCAGGAAAATAACATCACTGGATGTGAGGAAGCCAAAGAAGTTTCATAGATGATCCACGAGAATGTCAGAGTCATTAAGAATAACGATGTCACTAATGATGGAAAACACAATAGCAAGACTGGAGGCCAAGTCATGAGGACTGTGGGCTAATTGACATAGTCAGGTGTGGAGCTGGTGATTGCTTTGTATTGGGGATTGACTTCATGGAGTATTGAGTGACATCCCCAGCGATACTGCTGCTGCTGCTGCTGCTGATTTTATTTATTTATTTATTTTGAGATTCGGTCTCACTAAATTGCCAGGCTGGAATAGAATTTTAGCCCCTTTAGACCCTACCTCAGTTTCTCAAGTAGCTGGGACTACAGGAGTGTACCACCAACACCTGGTAGAGCTGATGATTTTTTAGAAGGAATGAATTAGAAATGGCTGTGTTGACAGTAAACAACAAGGACCCTTTACCTCTTAGTCTACTGTCCTGACTTACTTAAAGCAGAAACAGCCTCTCTTAGATAGCACTTCAGGGAAAGTTGCATGGAGAGGGGAGTAGGAAAGTGAAGGGGACATTTAGGGAAGAGGCTGAGGATATTGCAAAGTTTAATTTGTTACAAAGTGAGCTTGAGAAAACAGAACTGGGGATGGGAAAGGAGAGTGAGATAGTAGTTTATCTTAGAAGATGGGGAGAGTAGTCAGAGAATTAAGGTTAAAGTTACAATGGATGAGAGATTTGGAGGGATGGTGTGACCGAAGGAGATGCAGAATGCTTCTTAGTCCAGGCTGCTATAACAAAATACTATGTGCTGCATGGCTTCCAGACTAGACACTGTTTCTCACAGACCTGGAGGCTGGGAGGTCCAAGGTCAGAGTGCTATCAGATTCTGTTCTTGAGGAGAGCCCTTTCCTGGCTTCCACCTCCTTCCAGCTACATTCTCATATGACAGGTAGAAGGAAAGAGAATAAACTCCCTGGTGTTGCTTCTTAGCAAGACACTAGTCTGTCCCATCAAGAGGCATCAAGCTTCCAAATTAGAATTGGGTGTGGGGAGGGGCACAAATATTCAGTCCATAGCAATATTAAGTCACACTGTGGAATTGCTAGATATACACATTTAAAATTGTAATACTTAGGTATATAAACACTTTATAGATTTTAATGTAGAACTTTAGTAGTAATGGCTTGCCTTTTAAGCAATTTACAATCACTCTCATCAATAGAGTCTGAAAGGCCCATTCCTCCATACCCTCATCAGTAAGCATTAGATACTAGCAAGTGTTTAATCATTTAAACATTTGTTTTGAGACAGTGACTTGCTTTGTAGCCCAGGCTGGTCTTTTGCTCACTATGTAGCCTAATTGGCCTTGAAGACATGGCAATCACTCTGCCTCAGCCTCCCATGTGCTGGGATTTACAGGTGTGTGACACCGACCTAGTTTAATAAATTAATCATTTAAAATTTTGACATCTTAATAGTAAAAACAAAAGATCACATTTCTTCTACTTACATTTGTCTGTGTGTGTTTGTGTGTGTGTGTGTGTGTGTGTGTGTGTTACTGGAGATTTTAATTAGGGATCTTCACACAAAGCTGTATCCCTGGCCTTTAGTTTTTTTTTTTTTATATTTGTTTTATTTTAAGACAGTGTCTTGCTAAATTGGTAAATTGCCCAGGCAGGGTTTGAATTTGCAGTCTTCCTGGCTTAGCCTCCTGCAGTGCTACATTTTATTATTAGTGAGACTGAACATTTAAAGATGTTTTATTGAATATTTTTACTGGAACTTCTTCTCATCTTTGAATTGCTTCTTTGCTCACTTTTAATTTGCTTTTTCTATTGATTTGAGGGAACCCTTTATTCTTTATGCATATTAGAATTTTAATTTAATAAAATATTTTCTCCCACTTTTAAAAAATATAATAACATGTTTTGGTTAATGCTGTCACTTGTTGTACAGTTTTAGATTTCTATGTAGTCAGATCTATCATCTTTCATTTGATAGCCTCTGGGTTTTCTTTTTTCTTGAGACAGGATCTCGCCAAGTAGCCCATTCCAGCCTTCAACACCTGATGATCCTCTGGTCCCAGTCTCCCAGAGTGTCTCCTTGCCCTTCTCTAGTTCTGAGTTTTAAGTGTTGCCTGGATGTTTCCTGAAACCTAAAACTCAACATTTCCAAAATCAATATGATGTTGAACCTTTTTCATGTATTTATTAGCCATTTGTACTTCTTCTGAGAAGTATCTAATCATTTCAGTTGCTCATTTTTTAAAATTGAGTCTTTTAGGGAATCTAATATTTTTCCGTTCTATATATATTTTAGATATTAGTCTTCCATCTGAGGACTAATAGAGTGGGCTAATGTGGTGAACTTTGGCATTGTCCTAGAGGAAAATGATAGAAACTGCAAACAAAATATATTATGACCAAATTGTGAAGGATATTGATTGCCAACCTAGTGAAGGAACTTGAGTTTTATTTGGCAGAGACCAGTGAATTTGAATTAAATGTGTATGTCCAATAGACGTGATTTGCTGTTGTTGTTTTTGTTTTACAGTACTGGAGACCAATCCTGGGGTCTTGTGCACACTAGGTAAGTGCTCTGCCTCTAAATTATATTCCTGATCTTATATTTGTTTTTAGGCTGATGATTCTGCTACCAGTAAGATGATTTGTAGATTTAGGGAGAGCTGTATGATGTTATCAATAGGAACAATTGCCCAGAGATATTTTACAAGCAAGAATAACTAGGGCTAGCTATTTGGCATTTTAAGTCTGTCCATTATTTTCTGAATCATAGTAGTGTGATCACCTTAATTGGAATTACATGTTTAAAACATCTACCTTCACTATACTCTAAACTTTGCAAGAAGCAGAAACATTATTTGGTTCATCATTGCAACTTCACTCTCTTATATGTTGCATGACATAAATAGTGTTCAATATCTATTGAATTAATACATCCTTGGTCTGGGTGTGTGAGTGTGTGGCCAGGCATTTGGGTGGATATATTTCCAGATAACTATGAGAATTGTAGGTAGCAGAGTACATAACTTATGTGTGGCCTTGTCTCTTTAGACAAATAGACGGCCCTTTGTGAAGACATTCATCTTCCTATTTTCTCTTCTACCTCTACAAAGTTTGCCTTCATTAGCCTTAGACTGCAAACACAGTACTTTTACTTAATGTTTTTATGTTCTCACTATAAGGATATTGTATTTCCATTTGTAATACCATCTGATGATAGCTGGATAAAGTTTTAGGTCAGAGGTCTCTTGGGGTGAGACAGTGGCTGGGACTTCTTTGTATTTTGGCTTTTATGCTATGCCATCTGCATAGTGGTCCCACCTATGTGGATGACTGCACTTCCTATTTGCTAATAACTGAGATTTCTGATTTGCCTGTTTACTTTAGCCAATAGTATTTGACCTTAGTATCACAGGAATTTAAGGACTTTGATGTAATATGTCTCTACCTAGAAGACAGTAATTCCTCTTACCACACTTTTTACTTAACTCTGTCCCTATTATCTATCTTTTATTTTGCTCTTAATTTATATTTTGGGCTTTTATTAAGAGAAGCAATTGATATTTAAGGTTCTATGTCTGATGTATTTCAATTAACTATGTTTTCAAAGGGCATCTATTTCTTACAAATGCCTCAAGAGTAGTACTTTATGGCACAGTAGTACTCCAATGTGTATAAATACCACATTTTCTTTATCCATTCATCTGCTGATAGATATATTGGCTGCTTCCAGGATTTAGCTACTGTGAATTCTGCTGCAATAAACATGGATATGCATGTACCACTATAGTATATCTTTAACGTTTTCAAGAAGATACCTAGAGGAAGAATATCTGAGTCAAATGGAATTTCTTGTTTTTGTTTTCTGAAAAAATCTCCATACTGATTTCCATAGTGGTTGTACAAGTTTATATTCCCAACAATGTAAAAGGTTTTCATCTTCCCCTGCAGCCTCACCAGCATTTATTGTTATCTGGTTTCTTGAAGATTCTTTCTGGAGTATGATGGAATGTTAGTGTTGTTTTACTTTGTATTTTTCTAATGGCTAGAGATGTTGAACATTTTTTCATGAATTTATTGGCCATTTTCATTTCTTCTTCTGAGAAGTGTGTGTTACTTTCAGATGCCCGTTTTTTGATTAGTTCTTTTAGTTGGCGGGGGCTAATTTTTTTCTTGAGCTCTTTATATATCCCACATATTAGTCCTCTATATGAGGGAGGAACAGCGGACAAATTTTTTTCCCATTCTTTAGGTTACCCTATTCACACTGTTGGTTGTTTCCTTTGCTGTACAGCAACATTTTAATTTGATATGATACCACTTGTTAATTCTTGGCATTGTGCAGTTGGAGTTTTGTTCAGAAAATCCTTGCCTTCAGCTATGACTTCATACCTATTTTATCTATTTTATTTTCCAGAAGATTGTTTTTGTTTTAAAATTTAGATCTGTGGAAAGACTTTGTTGCTAGTATAGAGTTCCCTTTAGTTAGTCTGCTTTTTGGTTATGCACTCAGTGTGGCTAACTATAGTCCTTTGCCTCCGTCTCAAGAGCTAACCACCTCTGTTAATTTAGTAAGGGAGGATGTAGCATAATCGGCCCAGCACCCAGTTACCTTGGAGTGGACTGCAATATTTTTAGTGTCACAAAGGTAATCCAGGTGTTGTTATACAGAGAAAATCTATTAATAGCAACAACTACGTGACCCTGGCACTATCAAGTATATCAGCACCAGTAACATAGGCCAAGACAAACTCGATATTGACACACTGTAAGAACCAATGCTGTGCCAACCTTAACTTTAGAAATCTATAATTGTGGTATAAACACTAAGACAAATGAAATATTGACATAAAGCAAATAGCAACTAAATGCGAAAGCCGTGCTACAACTACTGATAGAAAATAATTCAACAGTAGTTGCATAGAGCTAGTTAAAGATTAATAAAGCTTCATACTTATACTACTAAATATATAGGGGGTTTAAAATGCAAGAATGAATAAAGAAAACTTGAAAAATTAAACGATGGGAGATGAGAAGAAGAAAAGTGAGACAAAGGATCCTATTAAGGAGTACAAGGATATTTATAGAATTAGATAAAGGTAACAGAAAAAGAACCAACAAGAAATAGAAGATAAGAGAAAAAAGGCAAGAGAAAAGAAGTAATATGGAGAATAAACATAGAAAAAATTTAAGAAGAAAGGAAAAATGAAAAAAAAGAAGAAAAGGACAAAGGGAAATTCCCCAGAGCCCAGCAAACCCATGAAGAAAGAAAACAGAGAGAAAAAGAAAATTAATCCAAAGACAAAAGAAATTCTCTGTATTTTTGAATGAGTGATTTTCTTCTAGAATATGTCATTTTAGAGTCCATCTTGGCAGTTTTCTCTGCCTATTCTTAGGGCCTGTATGTACGTGAGGAGTGCCTCCTATTCCAGCCCCTCTGTTTACCCTAGGCTGTGGCAGTGCCCATGCTAACACACGTCTTTGCTCACTTCAGTGAATAGGGAAAGCAATCAGTCCCCAGGTTTGTGATGGATATAGACAGCAGGGCAAGGGTTAGTAGGTAGGCATTTTCAGACCCAGCCATTTCTGAGTACAACTCAGCAGAGCCTGGCTTCTCACTATGGGCGTTCAGCTCTTGCCCTTCCCAGCCTGAGCTGAAAGTTCCTAGGGGATCTCTTTCTAGCCTACTCCCTGTTTGCAGCTGTCTCCCATATTGGTGTCTTACCCAGTCACTGCAGAAGGGCAACACTGGGAGCCTTGAAGTGAAATTGATTTTTAGATGTTCTGAGTCTCAGATTTAAATAATCACCCGCTTCCTGAATAGTGCCTGATTAAGCACTCTCAGCACTATGGCCGGGTGCCCATACTGGAATCTATCTCAGGCTGTTCCCTGCCACTTGCAAGGAATCATCTCAGAGCAAAATCCTGTGTTGCTTTTGCAGTCCACAATGGCTATGGGCTCCACCACCATTTGACCTTGGATCTTTCATTCCTGGGGCACTTACCTTGCTTATGGGGAGGCAGGTCCTCCCCCACCCCTGCCACATGAGCCACAATCTGGGGAGGGAGTCCATATATTTCATTCTTTTCTCTGCATTATTGACAATCTCTCCAACTTCTCTGTAGCTTCTAATTTTCTTGTCAGTTCCTTCTTGATTCTTCTATTTTTTTGGTTTTTTTGAGACGGGCTCACTACGTAGTTGAGACTGACCTGCAACTCACTATGTATCGCATACTGGCCTTGAACTCACAGCGATCCTGCTGCCCAGCCTCCGGAGTGCTGGGATTACAGGTGTCCACCACCACGCCTGGCTAGTTCCTTTTTGATTCTTGGTGACTTCTCTTTTTTTTTCCTTCACTAAATTGTTATTTCCCAGGGTCTCGATTGTGGATCTTGGAAAGGCTGAATTTTATTGCCCTTCACCACTTTGTCATTTTCCTCCTTCGCCTGTTTTATTCACTGTGGTTATCATTATAGCTTAAAAGCTATAGACTCTTGGTCTTCTGGTCTCTTTTCTGGTTTTTTTTTTTCTTCTTTACTTCCAGTTTCAGTTTCTTTCACCCTGAACCCCTGTACCCAAGTAGCCCAAGGCCAAGTAGGCACAAAGATTGCTGAGTTCAAAGCTTGAGACTAAAGTTAGAGGACTTGGGACTTTGGTGGACTCTGCTCATGAAAGCAGCAAATATGCTGGGCAGTCATCTGGGGGAAAAGTCCCTGGTGTAGACCCTTTGGCCTGTGAGATACAAATCCCAAAGTAAAGCTATTTACTTAATTTTGACCAAAGCCAGTTTACTTAAAAAGTAGGAATAAGAGAAAGGTAATGTATTTTTTTCCATGAAGTTCATTGCTACATTTAAAGCAAACATTACAACTACATTCATCACTGGGATCTTGTACCTTTATATGACAAGTCTCAGTTCTTATTTTTCCCCATACCCCTGCCCTCCCTTCACCCCCTTCACCCTTCCCTATTTACAGACTTTGTTTCCTTTTTTTCATTATTTACATTTTTTTCTTTTCCCTTATTTCCTTTCCCCTCCCCTTCCCACTTCCTCTTTAATGGTAAGGTAATGTATTTTTAAGAAGCATGTGATTAAATGGCTCTTTCCATAGAACTAGTGTTTGGTTTTAGTAACTTGGAAGGACTTTGGGGTAGGATAAAGGCAGAGGTAACAGGCATTTCTGTTGCTGCATGTTGTGGCTGCAGCTGGGGACTAGATAAAAGCATTTCTCTACCCCCCTCCTTTTCTTCCTCTACTTATTCCTCCTTCTTTTTTTGGAAGCCATCTGTTAACATTTAATGAACATTCCTCGTGGCTTCAAGCCACCAGGCCATAGGTCTTCTCTTTAGCACACTAAATATTTTCCTCAGGTCTTCTCCTGAAGAATTTGGCTCTTATGATTGTATGCTTCTTTAGGAGCTTTCCTTTTCTTGGATCTTTGTAGTAGATCCATTTCTATCACAGCACATTAATGATAGGAGCAGCTCCAGTCTTGTTTTTGGCAGCATTTGCTTGTGTCTACTCACTGACGATTTATCAACAATGATATTTGGGCACAAGCTC